AAAAAACATAAAGAACTAACAATTGGAAAGAATATTCTTTGAAAAAATCTTTTAATCATAGCGTTATCAACTAACAGATTACTTGTAATAAATAAGTAATGAACCTACTTTGTCTTTAATTAGTTTAGCCAAAAACATGAAGTTCTTATAAGATCAGATCAAGTGATATTGCATAGAATAATTTTAAACTGTAATTCATAAGTTGGTATTCTAGTAGAAATACTTTGTAAGACCTAAGTATTCCGTTTATTACTACTCATCAAACCAAACAACTTATAGTTGAATTCGTGAGTCATTTAAAGCTAGATCACCATGGAAAGCTTAGAGGCACTGGACGGCCGTTTCGTCCTAGTATGGTACTCCTCAGCAGTGCGCGTCCACGATCCCACCCCGCGAGATTCGAACCCAGGGCTTATACGTCTCGCGAGCGAACACTCGGCATCTATTCCATGGAGACGTCATTCAACGGTGTTAATGTCTAACTTCAGCCAATCCAAGAAATTGCGCCTCCGTTTACTATCGTCATCAGTGAGTTACTATCTCACAACATACCCGGTTGAACTCCACTGGTTACGACTTATCACTCGATTTCCGGGAAATACCTCTTGAAACCAGTCACTAGTGAGCACTGCCGTTTAGTGATTCCAGTTTTTCCATGATGGTCTGGTTTCAATTGACTCATGAATCCAACTATAAAATTACTAAAATCTCCAAAAACGTACCTTCTCATAATAAACAACTTATGCTTGATATTATAATTCGTATTTGTTTCCATCTTTTTAAATACATTCATTTCAACTTTACTGACGAGATTATGTCAAATCTTTGTTTCTAATCAGTGTTGTTCTTCATAAATTTTAACTGTTTCCATCTGATACATTGAATTCATCTGATTCTGTAAATTTTATTGCACTAACTTTGTTCAAAATTATCAGACGAAAGAAATGTATAAAAATATTTATGTATCTCAAACATACTTTATGAGATGAATTATGCACATATATAGTTCTTCTTTAAACTACATATTCGAATGTATATCGTATCATCAACACCGATGAACGAGCTAAGTTCATCCATATCATTAATGATAATGTTTCATTTCATTTTTCGAGGTCTATCAATTACTCATATTGGGGTAGTTGTCAGGAAACCCTAGATTTAAGTCTCATGTCAGTTGAGAATCACCACTGAGGTGCACCTGTAATTTCATGGGAACTGATGTGGTACTCTGAGAGATACGAACCCACATAAATGAATTGGATTATTCTCGTAAAAATTATAACAGCTTTGTAGTTTACAAACCTTACCTATAGGATATGAAAACCTTAGGGCTAAGAAGGATGTAGTGAGTTTCGTTTTAGTTTTTCATTTTATAACCATTTCTTTTGTCTGTGAACTGGTAGATTCGCTGTATATATATATACGCTTGTTACTCCCAATGTAGGATAGACCACCGACCAGCATTCTCCAACCCACTCTGTCCTGGGCCTTCTTTTCTACTTCCATCCAATTCTTGTTCATTTTTCTCATGTCTATTTCCATTTCTCGGCGCAATATATTCTTTAGTCTTCCTCTTTTCTTCTGGCCTTCAGGATTCCATGTGAGAGCTTGTCTTGTGACGCAGTTCGGTGCTTTCTTCAATGTGTATCCCATGCACTTCCAACCATTCTTCCTGATTTCTTCCTCCACTGGGATCTGGTTTGTTCTTTCCCACAGTACGTTGTTGCTAATAGTGTCCGGCCAACGGATCTGAAGTATTTTGCGTAGACAATTGTTAATAAACACCTGTATCAAACTGATATATATATATATATATATATATATATATAAAATATTATATATATATATATATATATATATATATATTATATATTATATTATTCCCAGAAAATACCTTACTGCTAGCATACCCAAATCCAATCTAAAGTTTTAAATTCACTGCTCTATAAGTGTGTTTTTTTACCAAAAAATAACCGAATCCGGACGAACAACTTTTGAGTCATTACAATGGTCAACTAAAACCACTACAACATAGTAACAGTTGAAGTCAAAAGATATTCAATTATCTTTTTGAGATGGTGAAGATTTGTAGCTTAGGTGGATGATTTTGATGGGGTTTTGTTCTCTGAGCTGGATGGTTTGGTCGTGGAGCTTTCATCGTTCTTCTGAACGACATCATCAGTACAAACTTCAGATAGAAGTGAAGTGTTCGAATTTCTCTATATGTGTTTCACAACTTGTTCTGTACACTTCGACGTTGATTGGTTCCTATTGACCTTAAATTTGTCATTGTTTACTCCTTTGACAATGACAAATTTAAGGTCAATAAGAACCAATCAACGTCGAAGTGTACAGAACAAGCTGTGAAACACATATGGAGAAACTCGAATGCATTACTTCTTTCTGAAGTTTGTGCTGATGATGTCGTTGAGAAGAACGATGAAAGCTCCACGACCAAACCATCCATCTCAGAGTAAAAATTTGAAATATTCATTTTGTCCCCCAATTAGTACTCATCAGTTGTATCTATCTATATTTTCAACAATCTATTTAACTCAATATTTTAATGTCTCCCTTCTTTTTAGCTTAACAACTTTTATATTCAAATTAAAACTACTTTTTATTTTGTTTTTATCTCAAATAACCGAAAATGTAACAAAACATAATGAAAATAAATCGACCATAACCATTTAACCCAAACTAAAATACAAGGTAGAATGTATATAGATATATTTGATTGCATTTCTTTCTTCTACCTTTTATCAGCCTACTTATCACATATGCATCAGTTTATTTTCTTTCTTTCTTTTTGTTCTTGTCGTTGTTGTCGTCGTTGTTGTTGTTGTTGTTGCTGATTATCTCCTACTTACTTTCCTCTTATTGTATTTTAGAGTGAATAAATTCAGTAAAGTGTGAAAATGACCTTACTCACATGTTCGATTATCATTTATGCTTCTACTTCTTTCTTTCTCTATCTCTTTCACTCTTCACCCATTTTTATATTTGAGAATTTTGTTTATTTCATTAGAAGACATATGCATGCATGTAAGTGTTTATGTATATGTATAAGTGGTTGTATGGATAATTGTCGACGTTCCAATAATAACGGTTATCGTGTTCTGATTCTTTTGGTCTTCTTCTTATAGTCTAAAGTATCAAGTTTACAAAAAGGAAAAATGGCTAAACATTTACAAATCGGGACATGTATATATATATATATATATATATGTAAGATTAGGGACTAATGTCATTACATCATTTTTTCTCTCTCTCTTTTGTTTTGTCTTTTCACCTCTTCAAGATTTCATTATTCGCATGAATTATACTAGTGTATGCATTGTTGTACATGTGTGTGTATGTATGTGTGAATCTGTTTTCATAAATGAAATTGTTAGACAATTATTCCTATGTCTATACATCATTTTGTTGATCTAGAGAAAATAAGGACAACAAGGTGAAAAAGGCGACTACTATTCTGTTACCACACATAACTGGTTGTGTACATAATTCTACCTGGACAAAGTAGACGACAAATTCTATCTCAAGTTTTCTCTTTTTTTTTTCTAATGGACAACAATATTTCTCGATTGGAATAAAAATACTGACAAAATACAATAGTAGTATGTAGTAAATAAATAGACTAACAGTGAAACCCAATCCCAAAATTTTTATCTCATCTGTCTATCCCACCAACCTAATTACTTCAAAATAGACTGAATATTTTCCAGTCTTGCCGCCTGTTCTTTTTTTTTAATGTGTTTAAGTTGAACCAGTTGATGTTGTGAAATGTAATCCCACCACCTCCAAGTTTTAACTGGAGATCAGGTTATTTTCTGTTGGCTATAGTGATAACGACAATGTTAGCGGTGGTGGTGGTGGTGACTTGTTTAATGTCTTTAAAGGTGCATTTATGATGAAAATAAGATTAATAGTAGTATTAGTATGAGTATTAGTAGTAGTCAGAGTGAATATTTTTGGTGTTGTTAATCCATTTTAACCAAAAGAGCAGTCTCATGCTGTCTTTGAAAATCTGTTCAACATATAAGTTCAGGGTGAACTGAAAAATTAAGACACGGTAAAATTAGTTATATGGGTGGCGAGTTTGTAATGAATGTGGTTAGGTTAGTGTAAAATAGTAGAGTGTGGCACTACATGTATCCAAGACAGAGAGGAAGAGAGAGAGAGAGCGGGAGAGAGAGAGATAAAAACGCATTTAGACATTCAAAACCTGGTTAGGATTAGACATTAGACAGAAAAGATTTGCACGTGCTTAAAATATGAGGAACAAGCACCAAAAAGGTAAGAGGTAAGACAGATATGAATGAAGTCACGACATTTACTAAATTGACCACCACCATCCACATCATCATCATCATCATTACCATTACTACTGTTCCAATTATCAACACACTAAAACAAGAATAAAAAGACTACACTACCAAGACCTATGAATGATAATGATGAAGCTTGAAGTGTTTACGTGCGTGCGTGTGTGTATATATGGGAACGAGTGTGATAGTAAGTGAATGAGAGAGAGAGACGTGAAGCTGGTTTTACACACCGCCCTATCGTTAATGTGTTTCTCCCAAATTTTACGTTTGACCGAAACTAAAACAAAAATGATTCAAATGGAGAGAGAAGAACAAAACAAAACAAACAACCAAACAAATAAACAAATAATGAAATAAATAAATATATAAAGAATGTGGTTCATCGTCACAATTTCTCACTGTCCTCTTATATGAATGAAATATTCACTTACATAAATGATGAATAGAATTTTCCTCCAAAAAACAAAAATAGACTCTATTATCCTGATTAATCTGATTGTTAGTTATTATTAATATTGGATAGTTAACATTGCAATATTTCCATTTATCTGATGAATCGAAATGTATCACATAATGTAGGATTCATTTCACTATCGTTAATAATAATGTGAACATGTTTGTTTTCTACTACTTATAACTCATTAGTAGTACTTTTAAAAGAAACACTGTTGGATTAATTAAATGAATTTTTGGTAAGTCAAAGTTTGTTTGTTTGTTTTTTCAACATAAAACAAGAGTTTTATTTTCATATTAGAACATTGTTATTCTATCAATTGTTCATATATATATATATATATATGGGGATTTGTAGAGATTGTTGAATGTTGTCAGGAATTATTGGATAGCTATTTCATCCTAGTATGAAATTCTTTATCAATGAGATCTCACCTTCAATGAAACCTAAAACCTTCAGATCTCTTTAAGTTAAAATATCATAGCTTTAAACTACTGAGTCAGTAGTTTACATTATCATGTTTCAATCGGTTTGTGATTTTAGTAGGCAACTCCTTTATATATTTAATATGGTTGAAATCTATTCACTACATGTTTTGTATTTCTCAACTAGATCTATCATACCACTTGAAAGAAATATTATTCGAACTTGTATTGTTCAGATGATGTTTAACCAAGTGTATTGAAGACATTGGAAGACATAGCTTAGAATCGACCACAATGATACAGATGCATTTATTCTTTATCTTCTCTTTAATTTCACGTTTTAATACTACCTTATACTTATTAATCCATCGAATGTGTTTCTATTACCACTGATGTCGTTACAACTTCTAATACTCTAGGAATCATCTTGATAATTTTATTTTGTTATACTAGTATGACATGATAACTTAAGGTGAAACATAACTGACATAAGGTTCTACATTGCTTGTGAATAACTAACAAACTAACATGAAAGTTTTCAGTGTATGGTTTTTGAAGTATTCCATTTGCTTAATGTCACAAATAAAATAAAATATAATAAGTAGTATATTTCACAGTGAGTTATTTTTTTTTTTTGGTGTTTCATGAAGAATATGATTATTTTTTCAAATGTTTATCTCCATTAGATAAAAGGAAATCAGATTAGAGATCATTTATTATGTAAGTGAGTTGGTATAGATTTATTTAATAAGGAACATTTAGTGGTGAATGATTTACTGACTGTGCTGGTGAGCGGCCTATGCTCCTCCACGAGGAGTAACAGACGTAATTAAGTGAGTAAGTAAGATTTACTGACACCAATGAATGATGAACTGGTTTTTTTCCTACAATGTTTTATGCTTAATAACAGACTTGACACTTAGAAATTAATTCAGTGTTTTCGAATTTTCTCTACAAAACTCTAGTCTTATGTTCACCAATGACTTGATTCAAAATTTATTACTGTGATTTTAGTGGGTCATTGTGATCGGTAGAGTAAGACGATCATCCCTAATAACTTTTATTGGACATTAACTTGTATATCAAACTGTTTGAAATTCAAAATGCAAATTATTAAAGTTCAAATTAATAGCATAAGTTGTAAATGCTTTGTGAGACTTGAAAAACCTGAGTTCGATCATCTGTAGGGGTCGAGTGTACACAATACTTCTAAGTTCAATATCAAGATAGAATAACTGTTCAGTACTTTTCACCTTCCAGTGTTCCCCCCAGCTGATTATGAATATCATCTAATATAATAAGGGATCATTAAAACTTCAGGTAGAAGTACTGATGATGTCATTCAAAAGAACGATGAAAGCTCTAAGATCAAACTATCCAGCTCATAGAACAAAACTCCATCAAAATCATCCACCTCAGTTACAAATCTTATCCACCATCACAAATGAATAACTATCATATTCTTGAATTGGTCTATGAATTGTGGAAATTCATTTAATCTAAGGATGAATATTAGATGTTAGATTTACCTTTCAGGATTCACAAACCATAGAAAAATGGAAGTTAATCATAGTTCAAGTTTTGTCTTATGATTGGATTTCATGCATATTGATCTCGAGTAAAATTATGCTTTTTTTTTCTTCTTCTAGGAATTAAATTGATTTTATTAGAGTCCATTATACTGATATTAAGTTTTGTCGAAGTGTGTATGTATATCACGTTGTATGTTTTGTATTGTTGATTGAGGTTAGTTTTTATTTCAAAAACTGAAAACATTTGAGAAACTAATAAAAACCAGGGAGTACTAGATAGATACTCCGTCTGTAATATTGAGATTCTTCATTAGCGTTAGTGAGTTACATATAAAACAATAACCTAGAATGTGGCTCATATGTGATGATGAAAATTATAAATATCAAATTATTATAGTTAAAAATGAAACTAATAAGATGAAGATACGAGGGTAAAAACTTTTCGTTATGTTATATCGTCAATTTATTATAACTAGTGGTTGACTGTTATGACTCCATCGTCAATTGTTATGTCTGAATCGCTTATGATCTATACTTATAAGACCAGGAACCTCTTCAATTGTTGCAGTACGAAACAAGAACACCAAAACTGGTACAAATGAAGATTTACTAATCCCAAAGGGCGGCCTGCTTGAGCATCTGGGCTACCTGTTCCTGCGATCCAGATATTTCAACAAGTTATAGATTTTTGTTTGTTTTAATACATCATTATGTTTATGAATCGCATAACCTATCCTGCTGCGTTTCTGAAAAGTATACAACCTTTTGTTGGTAGAGTTACAAAAAACTCAATAAGAGACAATATGGTTTCTGGCAATATACAACGAAAAGAATGCACATTATTCAGATGTTCATTCACTGAAGTGCTAACATCTAACTGGCGATCACTCAATATTTATCGCCAGGACCGACCAAGAAGAAAGAAACGGAAACTCGTTGAAATACTTTACGCTGAGAATTCTATATTGTACCAAAAATATAATATTGAATAAAGCAGATAATAATAATGATAATAATGATAATGATAAAACACGATGACTACTACTCTAGTTAAAAATACATTCTTTTATACGTTGGTTGTAAATTCATTTTGATTAATAATTAAAATAAAATCATATAGATGAAAAAGACCGAGAGTTACATCAAAATCACATGCTACATGTCATGCTAAGCATTTATTTATTTATTTGAACACATAAACATTGGTAAAAGGGACACCAAATACATATGCGCCACACAATAACAGAGGCCAGTAGCCGTTCTCATTTGTTTGCGTGATAGCTGTGATACTGCCCGGGTGCCCAAACTGAAGCAGGTAGTTTTCTTGGGGCGGGGTACACTCCGAGGTTTTAGCCTGAAGGTCTCATCCACAAGACAGTGGATCAACGTCAGGAGAGGCAGTCTCGCGGTAGCCGGTGACCGTCAATTGGTTCATACGCCATTTGCTCCTTTAGGATCCTGGAGCCCATGTGCATCATTGGTTTGGAATCAGGGTTTTCCAACTCCCTTAGGTGGACCCTCATTACCCACCACCAACCAGGTTGAAGCGCCGGACATTTGCTTATCGTCCTCTTAATTTCGTAATTGACACCGCCACGAAAAGTCAGTGAATAGGACTGCCCTGACAGTGGCTGTATATATGTGGCCATGTGAAAGCATTTCGAGAGGGAGAGTTAACTCCTCCCACTCTGGATCGTATCAGGGCGTCGTATGTTATACAGAATATAATTTCATAAGGAAAAACAAAAGAAATATTGCACTAAGTAATTATCACATTGAATTCAAACGGAAGTAATATTGAAAAAGTCATAGTGAGCAAAAAGAATGTAATATTGACTTCTGATCCCGTCATACCACCCTGACATTAATGAAAGTGATAAACTTAACATGGAAAATACATTTAGAATGAAATGGAGTTAGTGAATGAAATCACTTGAACAATGTTATATTTCGAGATGTAATAGAATATAAATAATAAATTCATTTACGATACATCAGTCGATTTCTATGCATATCAGTTGAGATCGTCTTATAGATTAAGGTATCTTACCAACTCTAAAGTGACTTGGATCAGTAGTCGATAAACTCACGAAATGATTCTCTGCCTGAGTTTTATATGTTCTATTCTTAACCAGTACTACTATTATCAGAAGAGGTTCTGTGGAGATTTTAGTAATTCCAATAGTTGAAATCATGAGTCAATTGAAGCTAGACCATCATGGAAAACCTGGAAGCACTGGATGGCAGTTTCGTCTTATTGTGGGACTCCTCAGCAGTGCGCATCCATGATGGCAGACGGTGGCGCAATTTCATGGATTGTTTAAAGTTAGACATTAACACCAGTACTACTATTAACAAAAAAATGTTGTTCCTTCAATTTGTATTAAAAAAATAATTTGTGAATGATGAATATTTTAGTGAAAACTTGAATCTTTTTAATGCGAAAATAGAAAAAATGCCTAATTATTCACCATGTTAAATTCACTTAATATTGTTCGTTTAAATCTTCTCATTGATGTTTAGCACTGCAATTGAACAGTACTGAATTCCAGTCCCAGAGTGAACATCAACTTTAAGATGCAGGTACATCCAGCTGATGAGTCCCAAATAGGACGAAACGCACGTCCTGAATTCAACAGCTAGCCACTATCCATCTTAGCATATTCACCATTTTATTGTTTTCAACAATAACTGATATTTTTTTGAAAGGAAAATAGTAAACAAAGATGGATAGGGGTTAGTAGTGGAATACAGTACACACTGGATATACTTACATCTCAGAGTTGGTATTTACTCCTAAACATCCAGAGAAAGATTCAAGTAAACCAAAACCAAGTGAATTTGAGGATAGATATAATTTTCAAAACAGTTTACTTAACTATTTATTAGATGAAGTTGTTTCATAGTGACTTTATCAAATTTTTTAGGTTACTTGTTTTCTAACTATACAAAGATTTCAGTTACCTTATTCATGTTAAATTCATTTGAATTGAATAATTATGAATGTGAATTATATGTGCTTATGAGCTATTATAAAAACGTTTACAAGTTATTGAAGTGTTAGAAATAGTAGAAAACCTAAATGGAACGTTTATTGACGTTTATCGACGTTTATTGATTGTTTATCTTTTGGTAAAGGATAAAGTGATGAATGAAAAAAGTGATCATGATTGAACTAGTAGAAAACTGTAATTATTAAATACAGATGACTCTTATTGACTATTAAAATAATTACTGGGGAGTTTTTCATTGTAATAGAATTGATAGTACTGAATAATTAT